CATCCATCCCTGTCCATCCCTCCATCCCTCCCACTGGACACACAGCTAGGGTTGGTTGGACAGACATGAACCGGCTCCAGCCTCACCCCAGCCCAAGCAGCAGGACAAGCTGGGATCCCCCAAACYGGGACCCCCTGGCCCCAGTCTTCCCGTGTGCCTCAGTTTCCCCAGTACCTGTTCCTGGGGCAGCCCCCTGAGGTAGCAGCGGTGCCAGAGCTGGACGCAGGGCCCGGAGGTGCAGGGCAGGAGCAGCCCYGGGGGAGGCTGAGAGCCCCCCAGGAGCCCCCCCTGCGTCCCCCCGCGTTCTGGAGGGGGCAGCCGCTGCGGGGGCTGCAGGGGAGCGCGGTTCCACCAGGGCAGGGGCTGGGGGCACAAGGAGCCCTTGGCCAGCGCCAGCACCGGCCCGGCCTGCCAGCACGGGCAGGGCTCTCCAGGCTGGGAAAGGGAAAACGGGGATTAGGGACAATGGAGGGAAACCCAGCAGGGCTGAGGGATGAGAGGGAGTAGGGATTAGGGGGAAAAAAAGGAGAGAAATCGGTTGTGAAGGGAAAAAGGGGAGGAAAAGTGGGGTGAAAAAATAGACACTAGGAATAAAAAGGGGATGAAASAGGAAATGGTGGGAAACAATAGGGATTGAGGAAAAAACGGGAGAGAAGGCAGTCAGAAGGACAAACAAGGGGTGAAGAAAAGGTGCCGAACCCCCAGGCCAGGCACGCTCACCCTGCCCGGGGCCCAGGGCTCAGCAGGGCCGGGGGGTCCCGCAGGGTTCCGGAATCGCCGCCGCTGCTGCCGAGTGGAGCGCAGCCCCCAGGCCCAGACCGAGGGCAGGGTGCAGATCGGGGGGCTCCCCCTGCGCCCCCCGGGCTCCTGCCAGCCCCCCACGGGCCGGTACGTCTGCCTGGGGAGCTGGAGCTGTGGGGAAGAGTTGGGAAGGTCCATTGGAATGGGGGAACTGAGGCACAGAGGGGAAAAGAAAGGGTAAAACGGGAGGGTTTGGGGATGCGGCAATGTGCCCCTCACCGAGCTGCCGTGGCCCCTCTGGCGCTGGCAGCTGAAGCGGAAGGTGCTGAGGTAGGGACTGAAGCTGCTGTCGTGGAGCGCCAGGAGAAAAGCCTCRGTGAAGCCGAAATGTGCCGGGAATTGCCGGAGGAGCTGCCATGTGCAGTCCAGGAACAGCAGGAACACGGGGGCCTGGGGGGATATGGGATGGGGGATCTCACCTCCTCCCAAGCAGGGTCCCAACTCTGTCACCCTGCTGGGACAGGAATGGGGGTCTGACCTCGTCCCGAGGGCTGTCCCGGCACAGCAGCCCCAGGCGGCGTGGGAAGGGGTGTCCGGCTGCCACCCACTCGCGCTGCACCAGGCTCTGGAAGCCAGGCAGGGAGCGGGCGTGGGGGTCCCCCAGGAGCTGCACCAGAGAGGCCACCAGGCAGTTCAGGTCCCGGTCCGAGGGCTCTGGGGGGGCAAAGGGGTGACGGGGTCTCCTTTCCAGCCGCCTCCATCCCTCTCCGTCCTTCATCCCAGTGTCCCCACCTTGCAGGACCACGGAGCAGCGTTTCCCTGCCAGCAGTGACACCACCTCCACAGCTTTTCTCAGGCACGTGCTGGGGGGCAAAAGCAGCGATTCAGAGCACCCCAAAATGTCACAGTCGCCCATCCAGGTGGCTCATGTACCCACCACAGTGCCCMCATMCCCCCACAGTGCCAGATGGGCTGGRGGGGGACATCCCACCATGGATTTTAGGGTGCATTTCTATCCTACACCCCAAAATACCTCCCGACACCCCAAGGAGCCCCCTYGTTCCCCGCTCACCGGACATGGTCCAGCCAGCGCGTCCCCTCCAGGGCTGAGAGCCACTTCTCCTCTGCTGCCGCGCCTGGATCCCACGGGACGGGCTTTCAGTGGGAGGAAGGCCCGGTCCCTGGGGAGTTTGGGGGTCCCTGGGGTTCGCCCCGTGCCACTCACCAGGCAGACAGAGTGCCCGCAGCCTCAGGTGGGCGAGCTGGATGTCRGCGAGCGTGGGCAGCTCGGCAGTGTCAGCCAACACGCAGGGCCCGCGGCCCCCCAGCAGCAGCGCTTCCAGGCACCTGGGGGGCACAGGAACCCCGGGATGGGGCCAGGCTGGGGGGACACCCCCATTCCCCCTGGGACCCCCGGGACCCACCTCACGTCCTCACTGCCTGGCTCTGAGGCCACATGAAAGCTGGCGGCTCTCAGCAGGTCCCCCCCATCCAGGAGGTGCCAGCACAGGCGCTGCAAGAGAAATGATGTGACACCCCCACGTCCCCCTCCCAGTGCCCCCCGCCCCGCCGGGCCCGCCCAGGCACTCACAGGTACCCGTCGCTCCTGAAAGTGGGCAAAGGTTCGCTTGAGGTCGTGGTCCAGAAGCCCACTGGGCACCCACAGGTACTGGGGGAGGCTGTGGGAAGGGGAGCACAGGGTGGATGTCCCAAATGCCACTTGCGGTGGCTCAGGGGCTGTTGGGGGCTGGCAGGGCTGTACCTGGGGGCCATGTCAAAGCGCTCATTGACGGCGCTCACCCTCCAGCCCGCAGCTCCGAGACGCTGCAGCTCCTTCTCCCAGTCCCTCAGGCTCTCGAAGAGCAGCACGGGGGATGAGCCTTCCTCCTCACCCTCCRCCTCCTCCTCCTCCTCTGGGGAGGCCTCGCCAGGGCAGGACCAGCCCTCGTGTCCCTCAGCAGCATCCCCCAGCCACGCAGCCGCCTCCCGTGCCCGTGCGATGGCATTGGCCACCTGCGAGGGCATTTGGGGCGCGTTGAGCCCCAGCTTTCCCCACAACCACGGGGGAGCTCAGAGGGAGGCTACAACCCTTGGGCACCTCCCTGGCTTACCCGGAATGCCTGCGGAGCCAGCCCGTTCTCGGGGAAGCAGAAGCGGAGCAGGCGAAAATCGCGACAGAAGATGGCGAGTTCCTCAGGGATGAACTTGAGGGTGGAGCCGGCCGTCAGCACCTTGGGCTTGGAGAAGCTGCTGGCTGCGGTCAGGGGAATGAGGCTGTCAGGGCCAGCTCAGACCTGCTCAACTCATCACATGGGGTTGAGACCTGAGACCTGTCCAGCTCATTCCTCGTGTCCCTGGATGTCCCCATTACCTGCCACCAGCTTGTGGATGCAGGGCAGGGCCACCTCRTTCTCAGAGTGGAGGAGACCATGGGAGCCAGGGGCCTGTGGGAGATTGGGGAGAGCTGGAAGCTACTCCAGAGTGTCCTCCCAATCCCAGGAAGAGCAGTGGGGATGGATCTGGACCCAACTGTCCCATGTCCCTTGTGCCTTGTCCCCCACTATGTCCTGCAGTCAACGAGCTGGGATGGGCTGGCRTGGAGCTGGGATGGGGCCAGGATGTGGCTGAGTGGGGTGGGGATGTCATTGGCTCGGGGTGTGGATGCCATTGGGATGGGAGTCAGCATGGGGTTGGGATGGAGCTGGGATTTGAGTCAGGGATGCAGTGGGATGGGGCTGAGCCAAGGATTGGGGTTCGGTGGGATGGGTTCGGGATGGGATTGGGATGGGTTCAGGGTGCGGTGGGATGGGATCGGGGTGGGTTCGGGATGGGTTCCAGATGGGATTGGGATGGGTTCGGGGTGCGATGGGATGGGGTCGCGCCGGGGCAGGGGTCCCCCGTTGCCGGTTCCGCTGCCGGTATTCCCAGCGTTCCCGGTGCTCCCATCGCACCTGGCCGGGCAGGAAGGCGATGCGCCGGTTGGTGCAGAGCAGCGTCCCCGGGACGGAGCCGCCGCCGTTCCCGCAGCGCTGCCGGGCGCCCGCCGCCTCCTCAAGCACCCGCTCTCCTGCGGGGACCGGCACTGGGTCTGGGGCTCCGAGCGCCCCCAGCCCCCCCAAAGACCCCCGGCCCCCCGGCCCCGGCCCTACCTGGGAGCCTGGGGAAGGTCGGGCGGCGGCTCCCCGGGGCCCCGCTCATGGCGCAGGGACTTTGGCCGGGCGGGCCCGGAGCGCCGGGGCCGGAGCGGCCCGGGAGAGAGCCCCGAGCGCCCGGCCCGGCTCCGGCATCCCGCCCCCGACTCCGGCATCCCGCCCTCCCCTTGGCATCCCTGCCCCGGCATCCCACCCCTCGAGGCCCGGGATTCCACGCGTCCCGACCCCTCGGATCCCGGGATTCCGCCCCCGCCATCGCCCTGCCGGGGCCAGCGGGGGGAAAGAGGGGCGAGCCCGGGGGAGGGAGCTTCGCGGGCGGATGGGGGTGGCGGCCTCCGGCACCCCAAAAGTTCCGCGTTGGGGCGGGGGGACGGCCCCGGGGACCCCGGCAGGGTCTGAGGTCCCCAAAACCCCGGCACCTCTCGAGCGCTGCCCAGGGAAGGGAACCCCYCCCACCTTCCCCCCGAAACTCCGTCAGCAGCGGCACGGGCGGGGTGCGGGGGGCGGCGGAGCCTCTCCGGGACGCACGGCACAAGCGGCTCCGTGACTCACGGCTGAAGCATGGAGCCTTCTCCTCCCAGCCCAGCACCGGTCCCGAGCCAAAGCACCCCGGCTCCTGCCCCGGGCAGCGGGTAGAGGGTGATCCTGAGGCCACTTGTGCCACCCCCTCAGCGCCACGAGATTTGGGCATCCCAAAACCAAGGCAGCCTATCAGCAAGTGGCGTGATTAATCCTGACACAACCCAGGAACGTGGAAAACTCACCCGAACTCCAGCTCCAACTCKGATTTTTGGTTTATTTCCCTCCAGATTTTTGGGACAGCCCCAGTTTTGGGAACTGCAGCTCGTGCACCCCAATTTTCCTCCTGCAGGAGAATCACCTGGCAGAGGTTCCAGGGGCTTGGATATGCTTTTGGCTCTGGCATCTGGCAGATGAGAGGAATTTCCTGGAGGCTTTGAGCCCAGAACTGCTCCAAGCCAGGACAGGGTCAGTCCGGGCCATGGCAGGAGCAAAGATCCTGGAAGAAAATCATCGGGCACAGACGTGGCACTGGGCATGGAGTGGCCACTCACAATGCCGGGAGAAAGGAAAAACACCCGGAGCTGGGAGGGGAAATCCATGGCATTTCCATGGGAAACTGCTCCCGGGGTCCCATCTTCTGTGATCCATCTCCAACCACCCTCAAACCTCTTTTTCCTCTTTCCTTTATAGCTTCAGCACCCATATGGCCCATGCTGGATTTTATCCCTCATTTTGTCTCAAGACTCAGGTACYGAAGGGAGCGTCCCTCTGGGGTGGCCTTGGGACGTGGCTGGGGAAAAGACTCCCAAGACCAGTGAGGATGGAGGAAAACGGGGGGAAGGTTTGTCAAGGGGCTTCTTTTTTATACGAAAGCCAGTAATTATAACCAAAATGGAATCACRCAGTAAATGGAATAGAAAGAAGGAAAAGTTACCCACTCTCCAGGCGAGAGGGTACTGTTCTTAGTGGAGAAAAAAGTCCCCGTAATTGGACAGAGAAGGAGATGAGGAGCAGCCCCAGGAGGGAACTGGGGACCCCCGGGGTCCTTGGACTGAGGGGATGAAAAAGCCTCAGATGCATCAGCTGAAGGTTTTTATTGTCAATGAGTTCTGTGGCGCCACGGGTACAGCCCGAGCGCAACGCTCCAGCCCTGTTCACCAGGCCAAGTATCACCAATTAATCCAGAATTAATTTTTTTTTTTTTAAAAAGGGGGTTTTTTTTGTGAATAAACCACTGCAGAATTAATTCAGGTCACTCAGCATCGCGTTAGTGAGATCCAAAGCTGCCCTGGCCTCCCCCGCCGCGGGACGGGGGAACAGCAAAGGTGAATCTCATTTTAATCAAATCAAATCTTGTTAACGGGTTTTACACACACTGAAAGACAAAGTTTTCCTCCACCAGGATCCGATGGCAGCAATTTGAATTTCAACCACATCAGTAAGTGCACTTAGTTTGACCTCGGGGTCACACCACAGCCTCTCCGTCCCCATCCCCATGGAAAAATCCCTCCTGGGGGGCAGGTTTGGTGCTTTTCCTCCAGTTTTGGAGTTTTCCCTSCAGGTTTGGTGCTTTTCCTCCAGTTTTGGAGTYTTCCCTCCAGGTTTGGTGCTTTTCCTACAGGTTTTCAGCCTTCTCCCTCTCCTTTCCCCCACAACACACCAAACCAGCAAGCAGGTCTGGGGGCCTCCCATGCCCACCTGAGTCCAGCATCCACTGGGATGGAGCAAATCAAAGCAGAAATTCCCCCAACAGCTGAGGAACAAAAGGTGAAGCATCACCTCCCACCTTCCAGCCCATGCCATGGGGCATCCCTGATCCCAGCACTTCCAGCACAGCCGGAGGACATTCCCAACCCCAAAACAACCCTGCTGCTCTGATTTGGGAAGAATAACCATCAGAAACAGGAATTTAAAYGAAGTCCCCACAAATAGTGAAGGATTTGGGTTGGGATTTAACCATTTCAGCTTAAAATTTGGGGTGAACCAAGTGGGGGCAAAGCCTGCGGCGCTTAACCAGCACCGTGTGCCCCTGGCCCGGGGTTGAAGTCCTTTGGAATTCCTGCAGTTTGAGGAGAGATGTGGAATTTGTTCCAAGGGAAGAGGAGCCAGCTGGAGTGGGTGTCACACCCCCACAGGCTCAGCCACGCTCGGGATTTTATAAAMCCAGGGAAAACGACTTACACTGTAGTCAAACCATCCCTGGGCTGTTTGAAATTTAGATTTGAAAATCTGTGGGCAAGAAGCATTGCTGGCTTGACTTAAAGAAGTGTTGGGATCCAGTAGGAAAGGCCTTTTTTGGGGGCATTTAGGTAGGAAAGGCCTTAACTGGGGGGGGMTAGGTTAACATTTTTAGGGCCAAGTGTAAGGCGTCCGGTGATCCCCGAGCTCAGCACACCTCCAGCTCCCCTGCCCAGGCCCTCATCCCTTCCTGAGAATGGCCATGGGCAGGAAGGGGTTGCATAGTTTGATGCCTTCTGGAAATCAACCCCAAAATAAAAACGAGGGAATGTTGTAAAGCTCTCACGGAAAGATAGAACTCCTGTTTTATTTCCATGTGATAGGAAATGCTGCACCTCACTCCGTGCAGGATCGGGCCCCATTTGAGAGCTGCAGTTACCAAAAAACCCAAGGAATTCTGTGCAAACATCGCAGTGCTAAAGTGAATCCCACCCTGGGAGCCAGGGGGCCGGGATGGGGTCAGGAATAGCGCGGGACATTAGTCACGGGAGAATTTTACCTTACTGTTCTGCTTTTTAGCCCTGTTATCAAAAATATGGATTAATTCTGCAGCCTAAAGGTCAGTTGGTGGCTCAGCACAACGGAGCCAAGTTAATCAGGATCAGAGGTAGTACAAGAGTAGCTGTGCTCAAGTAGGAGTTCCATGGGGCTGTGGCTCCCCGGCTCCAGCCCAGCACTGGGATGCTCTGGGGCCCCTTTCCAGTGGCCATTCCTGGGGGATTTGCCCCACGCCACTGACCCAGGATCTCGCCTCAGCCCTCCTGTGGACCGGGGCTTCTGCACAGGAAGAGAAACCTCCAATCCCTTGAGCACTGGGAGCCCCCCTGGCTCTCCCCGACTCAGAAAGAGTTTAAAAACAACATTTTAAAGCCAGAGTTGAGCTCGTCGGTCGGGGAGGGCGGGGACGGAGCCCTCAGCCCATCCTGGTGCCACCCGGGACTGGGTGGGGCAGGAGTCCAACCCACCCCACCTCACCAATGTCCAACTCCGATGTGGTGTCGCTCAGTACCAGCAAGAAGAAATACAGAATAAAACCAGTGTTAAAAAACTCCATTAAAAGGTTTGTGACGCTCAAAATGGGGCGGTTTTGCTCCGTCCCAGGTGGTCGGGGCAGCGGGAAGGACGTGGCGGGAGCTGCTCCCCCTGCCCGCCCCCAAAGCTTTGGTCTGGTTTATTGAGTTTTTGAGGAATTCTCCCCCCTCACCCTGTGCTCCGACCTGAGCAGCCCCCACTGTCCCCAGGCACCCTGGGAATCCTCMTCCTCCTCCTCCTCSTGACTCCAGGGGCTCTGGGACAGCAGGGACTGTTCCCCCTCTCCATGCCCTTCCCCAGCCCATCTGGCCCAACGCCTGCTCCCAGCTCCCGCAGAGTGGGAGGGGAGYGTGGGTGGGTGTAAAACCAAAAGGGATCTCTCTTATTGCATTGCCCACGTTCCGTGGGTCTGGCTGCAGGCAGGGGCAGCGTCAGAACCGGTGCACCAGAGCCTCCCGCTCCCTGCGCCGCAGCTCCTCCTTGTAACAGCACGAGCAGAAATTCCCGGTCTCTGGGTGTCCATAGAAGCTGCAGTTGGGCTGTTTGCACTTGGTCTGCTGGATGCTGTAGAGGGCCTGGCTTCTCATTTTCTCCGCCGTCGCTSCCTTGTCCTGCTCGAGGAGCTGCCGGCAGCCGTTGCTGTGCGGGGAGAGGCAGCCGGAGCCCTCGCACTGCACAGGGAACGGGGGCTGCAGCTCCGTGTCCGTGGGGGAGAAGCGGCCCAGGGGGGCAGGGCCGGGGGGGCAGGGGCTGAGCCGGCCCTGGTGGTGCCGGGGCAGGGTGGCGTAGGGGGGGAGGCTCCCGCAGGGACCCCCTGCCAGCTGCCGCCGGCCCTCGGGGCACCCGGGGGGGTTCAGCCCCTCGGCACTGCCCACGGAGGGCCTGGGGAAGGTGAAAACACCGGAATAGCTGGCAGGAAAAGCGGCTATCTTAGCACCCAGGGCTGTCTCCAGGGGCTGGGGCGGGTAGGTTTGGGGTGGCTGGGAGAACACCGGGCTCGGCATCACCTCCTCGCTCCGCGGGGCACCCGCCTCTCCTTCYGGCCTCTTGGCCGGGGCAGCGCTGCCCAGTGCCTTCTTCTCCGCCTCCTTCTGCCTCTGCTCTGCCAGGAAACGCTCCTCGGCGTCCAGGAGGTACCTCTGGATCATCTCCTCCTGGAACTGGTGCCGGSTGCTGGTCTTGAGGTGGCCAGCGAAGATGAACTTGCGCTCGCCCTGCATGGCTGCGCGCAGGATGCTCAGGCTCAGCCGCACGTCGTTGCTGTACTTGGAGGGATCCGACGCCTTCTCYGGCGCTGCTTTACCTGCACACGTTTTCTCTGCAGGAGCTGACAAGTCTCCTGGGGCACATTCCTCTTTGCTGCCTTTCCGTGCCTTCAGGGATCCCTTCTTCTTTTTCTCCAGGGTGTCTCCCTGCCCGTTACTCAAGCCACCCTTCACAGCTTTGCTGTGCATCAGACCCCCCATGTTCTTTTTTAGTTTGCTGCCCAGAGTCTTCCCGAAGCTTCCCAGCTTGTTGGCCACTGAGTCTGCCCGTTTTTTATCCTTTTCCTTCTCCTTTTCCCGCTCCTTCTTCGGTTTGTCCCTGTCCTTGCCCGCCCTGGTGCCCCCGTTGCTGGCAGAGCTGCTGCACACCGACTCCTTGTCCGACTCGCCCGACTCTGCTGCTGAGCGAGCATCGTCCCCTGCAGAGGCTGTGGGGGATTCTGGCTGAGCCAGAGGTGCCTGGGGACGAAGGAGAGACAAATATCAACGTGTAGAAACTTCCAGGTAAAGATTTTCAGGTGGGAGGCAAAGCAAAGGAGGTGGTGCTGCTTGAAACACAGAGGGGATGACATCTGGACTTTAAGAAAGACACATCCCCAGTGCATCCTGCCCATCCCTAAATATCCCTATGGCACCCTTACAACCTGAGATATTCCAGGATTTTATGATTCTATTCTGTGACTGCATGATACCTCCACTTGCTCCAGGCTTCAGGGGCAAAGCCAAGAAAGAGGGGGGTGAGACTTGTCCCAATCTTGAGGTGGCCTGTTGTAAACCAACAACTTCCATTTGTTTGGAGCACAGGGCATCCCTGAGGGTCATGGTGGCTKCTGGGTCATGTGAAAACTGAAAATGGGCATGGAAAGCTCTAGGGAAAAGGTGCCCAGCCATGACACGGTGTCACTTCCCTGCTCTGTGTGCAGAATCAGCCCCAATTCTGCAGGCACAGAGCCCCACAGGAGGCAGAGCCCCCAGGTGAGGCCCCACACACACTTCCCTGCAGAAAGGAGGGTTAAATAATTCATAGGTAAAGAAGATCCTGCCGGTCCCTTTACCTGCATGTCACAAGGCAATGTGATCCATCGGACATTCATGTAGCTGTGCAGCAGGTGCAGTTTGGCCTCCAGCGACAGCGTCACGCTGCCATCCCGGGGGAAAACCACAGGTCAGAGCCATTTTCATTTCCCACCTGGAAATATCTCCCCCATATTTACATTRTGCCCTGTGTTATGTGTTTAAATGAGTGGTTTCCTACAGCAGGTCCAACAGCACAAAACGGACAATTATGCAGACTTTCCAAACTTTTTGATGAAAACCCAACCACAGAAATCAGATTCCTCAAGGTCGGAATCAAAATGTTTCTCCCTCAGCCACAGGAACCATGGTGAGACCTGCCCAAAGTCTCACCCAAACCAGGCATGGTCTGGTGGCTCCAGCCCTCCCCRCTCCAGAGACTCCAGACACAGGGGYTTGGTGGCAAATGGAAAAATACACCTTTTTTGTGCTGTGACAGAAAATCCTGGACTGCTGCTGGTATCTGAGATAGCAGAGCTCCAGGATCTAGAGCATTTTCTATTTACTATGTGGGATTGAAGCTCACGAGATGTCACAGCCCCACCCAAAACATAACAAAATGAAGGAAAATGAAGGAAAAGCTGCTCCATCCCCATGAGCAGTGCCATTCCCTGAGCACAGCTTTCATCCCTGAGCACAAGAAATCCCAGCTGGGGTCAGGACTGACCCTTCATCCACGACCTCTGTGCTCTCTGGACCACCCAGACCCCAGCAGAGGCTCRCCCCAGGTCACCAACCTGGCCAGCYTGACATTGTCAYTGTCGTCCTTCCCCCACTGCCACTCCTTCCCSGGATCCACGGCGAAGTGCACGGGGAGCAGCTTGTGCTCAGAATCCGTCAGGGGGATCACAGCTGCCACACAAATGTCACACAAATGTCACAGTTATGTCCCAAAAGGACAAATACTCCACACTTGGAGCCAACTCCAAGGAACCACCAGGAGCATCATCCCTCCGATGGGAATGGCCTCAGCAAATCCCAGTGCTTGGGATCATGGAATTGTCAGAGCACCATGGAATGCCTCATGACCCTCACAGGGAAGGATTTTTTCCCAATGTGCCACCTAAGCCTGCCCTGTGTCAGTGGGAAGCCRTTCCCCCTTGTCCCAAGTCTCTCTCCAGCTCCTGGRGCCCTCAAGGCACTGGAAGGGCTCCAAGGTCAGGACACTGCTGGTTTTCTGGGCTGCCAGCACTCCCAAATCCTCCTCCTCCTCAATGCTTTGCTCACGTGAATCTCATCACCCACCTTGATCCTTCGTGTTTTCCTTCTGCTCCATGGAGACCAGGGCAGAAAAATGGGCTTGATCATAAGCCAGGACTAATGGAGAGCGATGGCATTTGTTGGCTGGGACTTCCAGGGGCAGATAGATCCCTCCAAAGGGAATTGGGGCAAATGCTGGGAAGAAACAAGGGCGGTTAGTTCTGATCACAGGTTCAAGAGTTCAGAGTAGTTTGTGCTGCAGCTGCTCCAGAATGAGCCACTTGCCTCAGTCGAGGGCTCACCTGCAATTATCTGTCACCTCCAGAGACATTAAACAAAACCACAACCTAAAATAGATGTTTATTTTACATCAAGAGGATGTAGAATGCAGAATGAACTGGTATTTTCTATAAAAAGCCCTCCTCTTCACTCCCACGCACGACAAACTTTGCCCACAGAACGATGAAAATTGATTAACCTTCTCTGACACTTCAGGAAATTGAAGCTGATGGTGGAAAATCCACCACCCAGGGAACGCAATTTCCCATCTCTAGATTGGCAGGGAGAGCAAAAGAGGTAGAGAAAAGAAAAAGCCTCATGTGGATACTCTTAAAGCAGCCGAGGCCGGGCTGGGAGCTGAGCCTGGCCTGGTTCCCAGTGGGTTCACCTGCAGCAGTCGATTCTCACAGAATGGACACAGGGGAGAAAGGGAAGGTGCACAGGTCAGAGAGGCTTTGGGAAGAGAGGGCAGCTCTCACCTTCACCACCCGAGTCGCGCAGCATCGTGTCTGCCACCACCACGATGGGTCTCTTGAGCACGTGGGCCAGCACAAAGACGTGGAACTCCTCCAGGCTCTCGTACACYGGCTCCTCCGAGCTCTCCACCCTTGAGGAACGCACAAGATTGAATTGGATATTCCATCATTTGCTTTGTAACACAGGAGGAGGTTTCACAGGCAGTGTGTAGAGGAGGGTGGATAGCACTAAGGCTGATCTCAGCACTGATTTGAGGGTTTAGGTGTGGATATCCATATTCTGCTCTAAGACATGGGTTTGTGCCCAGGGAACACCCAGCTGTGGCCTGGCCAAGGAGCTGGGACAGCTGTGGCAGGGAAGTGTCCTTGAATCAGAAGTGAGATGGCAGAAACTCTCAGCTCTGGGTTATTCTCTCATTTCGGGGACAGCACCATAAGGAAGCACATGGAAAACATTCATTCCCTGCTCAATCCACGTGCTACCCCACAGCAGAGGCTGKGCAGCAATGAAATCCTTTCCTGGGATGCTCTACATGCCTTGTGTTTGCCCAGGATCCTTCGTCCTTCCCCTGAAGCCCCACGAGCCAGACCAACACCGACCCCCTGCCCTGTTTTTAGGGAAGACATTCCCAGTTTTTCTCCTGGGGGTGTTCTGTGCTCCGTACCCGCCGCAGCCGCCGCCGTTGGTGCCGTAGTGTACCCGGGGCTCGCTGGACGCCAGCTTGATCAGCTCGTTCCACTCCTTCTGCCACTCCTCCTCCGTGTAAACCAGGCCAGACTGAAAACGGCAAAGAGAACCCAAAATCCTCTTCCWGTTACTCCAGCACGGGTTTATACCCACAACACCCCTTTTCTCTATGGATTTATGCAAAAATAACCAACCTRCTCTGCACCATTTTCACTAAAGTGCTTCCCAATATTCATCCAAACATCCCCTCTCRATTTAAACCTGTTCCCCATCCTGTCACTTGTCCCAAGCCCCTTTCAGTTTGCTGCAGTTCTGACTGCAGGACACCCCTTACCACAGCACAGTCCAATGGCAGAGTGGGGACCTGCCCAAAATTCCAGACCCAACAAGAAGTACCTCCCAAAGCCAGGGGATGTTTTCCCAGGACGTTCCCCCAGCAAAGAGAGCCCAAACCCTCAGCTGGCTCTCACCTCCTTGTTCTGCTGCGTCTGCTGCCAGCGCCACCTCCTCCTCAGCGCTTCCCGCTCCGCTCCCTTGTCCATCAGGGTATAGAGGGATTTCCTCAGCATCAGATCCCGGTCGTGGAAGCCCCACATTCCTGCAGGGRGAGGGAATGGAGGGGAGGCTGTCACTCCCAGCCCCACAGACATGCCAGGGGAGGGAAGGGGCTGCTCCATTATCCCACATTTCCTTCAGGAAGCAAGGGAAGCTTGCCAGACGGATGGGGAGAGGGATTTGAGAGGCACACAGGCTGCTGCAGCCCCTTCCCTTCCAGCATCCTCTCACACTGACTTGCTCTGGCACACCAASGCTGCTGCAGCAGGGAGGAGCAGCAGCACCCTGGATTCCACCAGAACGGGTCCCGGGCCCAAAGCGGGATCAGGAGCTCTTGCCCAGGGGCTGGTTGGCTGTTTCCCTGGGGATTAAGCCAAGCCTTACCCAGGGAGGCGGCGTGGAGCAGGCAATTCCCATCGCCAGTGGTGGCCAGGGGCAGCAGCCGCTGGCAGCTCGGATCCACCGTCACCCACCAGTTCAGGCGCCCTGGGGAGATTGGGAGAGCGTGAAACCATGGCACAGCACAGGACTGGGGGCACTGGGGGCACTGGGGGGCACTGGGGGGCTCAGCCCTTCCGAAACCAAGGCTGAGGACAAAAACCAGCTGTCAAAGCCAGGGAGAGCCTGGACAGGTGGGAAGGTACAGACCCATCCCAGGACTGGGGGTAAGAGTCAGGACAAAGACAAAGCAACAAAAAGAGGASACTGGACCTGCAAAACTCCCTGGGGATGCCAGGAAAAGGCCAGGCTGAACYTGGGGTCACACAAATCAGAATTACACACAAATAAGAGCCAGGACTTCCACAGACTAGTTCTCCTCTATCTGTTTTCCCCTCACGCTCCTTATTTCCCTCCCCACAGCTAATTAGGCTGAAAACGCCTTCAGGAGTGCCCAAAACAAACAACTTCTCCAGGGAAAACCAGTCTTTTGCTGCTTCTTGGAATCAAATCCATCCAGTTTCAATGTTCTCGTGGCCGGTTTCCCTGCTCACTGGTTTTTACACAGAATATTCCAGGATTTCTGCTGATCCCAGCAGCTTTCCTGCTAAAAACGCAAACYGACAGTGCTTTAGACCCAGAGTTTTGGGTCACTGTGGTGATTCAAGTCAAGAGCAGCTAAAAATAGATGGTAGGAAAAGATGCCCAGGGAGCCCAGTGTGGCTGGAGGTTGAGCCCTTCCCAGGGAGTGAAGCTGGGCTGGACTCTGAACGACCCCCGCCACTGTCTCSCCTGCCCTGCCCTGAACACCCCTCCTTGGCTGCCTTCTTTTCCAGTAGTTTTTGGATCCTGTGCAACAGGCAGGTTTTTGGCTGGATGAGGCTGTCAGGCTTCCAACAAGTTGTATTTAAATTGCTCCTGCAGGAAATCAGCCCTTTCCCAGTGACTGCAAGGAGCCTCTCCTTCCTCTGGAGCATGATCCCTGCCAGGGATCCCAGCACACAGACATGGGATTACTGGAAATGCTCTGCACAACCTCAGGGAGAGCAGCTGGAGCGGAACTAAAGGCAGAAAACAGGGGTTTAAACACCCCCAAACACCAGAAAACACAAAACCACAAAGCTCAGTGTGACACAGGCAGGTCATTCCTGTCCCCAGCRCCAGGAAAAGGGACCTGCCAGAGCTGGAAGCGTTCCACACCGAGCCAGGGGACAATGGCTCCGCACGGAAAAGCCGCTGCTCCCTCAGTGCAGCTCCTGGCACGGCGCTCAGGAGCCTGGCCAAGTGGCCCAGGGCCAGCTGAGCAAATGTGGAGCCTCACAGGAGGCTGTTCCCATGTGTAATGCTGCTAGGGGCAGCACCCAGAACTCCTTTTTATCCATTTCCCCTCACTCTTGCAGGATTTGATGCTCCTTTCCACGGGGTTTGGATCTCTGCGGTGCCCAAGTCGGGTCTGAGGGGACACACCTCGGAGAGGTATTTCTGTGCCTGAGTGTTTGCACTGACTCCAGTTATGCAAGAGGAGCATAATGTTTTGCTCCTCCCAATGTTTTGCTCCTGTTGAGGCTGCGGAAAGGCCAAGAGGCTGCCCACAAGTACTGAAAACAACACACTGCACTGAGTGTGGCTCTTCAGAGCCTGAGAGCTCTGATTCAAGAGCAGGAGGGATCCTCCCAGATCATCTGTACACAGGGAAAGTCCATTGGAATCCAGAGGCTCCCTCCTCATCCTGCACACTGACCCCATGTCACCCCACAGAACTCCTGTTTGTCCCCACAGGGTGTTTGGGGAAATCTCATCGCATCCTCCAGCAGGAGCCACCTGAACAGTCCCGGCAATGAAGGGAGGATTGCCTCATCCAAACCACAAATGGCTCCCCTAAGGCTACTGGGAATCCACTCTCACCGTGTGTGTGACACAGGGAGTGTGACACAGGGAGTGTGACAGGGAGTGTGACA